ATCAGCAATATCGATATAGATTGACATTTGTCTAATAAAATGTATCGGTATCGTTATAGAAAATCGATTGATCTACTTTGTTAATTTGTCAAATTGACAACTAAGTAGAGTTTGGAACCGGGTTTATTTTTCACCGATTAAACCGGTTCCAAACTTACTAAAAGATAATATACATATTGTTATTATATACAATAAAAGCTAGCACGTGGTACTGGAAGATAACCTATTAGCTAATTTAATAAAACTAAATTATAATCTATTTTTTTTAGTCAATCAAATTATTTTATTAAACTATATAGTCTAACTCGATAATCCAGTAATCATGAATTATGAGTTTAGTTTCTTAACGTTGGCCAAATCCAAAAATTTCCAGAATTTCCCTATAATCATGTGACCCTAAAATAGTAAACGCGCTTTTTACGCGACTACATAGATTACACATGCTCTTCAAGTGAAGTTAAGATAAATACACAGCCTAGTAACAATTTAAGATTAAAGTTCTTATAAATAATTTGCATGTTGTAAGGTTTATTTGGAAAAAATACGAGTCCAATGGCGCGTGGACACACGTCTACAAGAAGCTCTTCCACGGCTTGCAGAGAAGAAAAGCAACGTTCGCAATTTTTTCAGGAAGGTAAAAGCTTTAATATTTAAAATTAATGAACAAAAAGAGATTTCTGACTAATTTTTACTTCAAGACTGCCTTGGCCCGATAACAAACCCGGCATATGTCAATTGGATGTTGGCGTCGCCTCCACCTTTCATCGTTGTTTCCGAAATTACGGTAGTTTTTTTTGTTTTTTTTTTATTGTTTTTTTTTTTGTTTTTGTTTTTGTTTTTATTTTTTATTTTTTGCTGTTGTTGTTTTGTAATTCATTAACAAGATTCTAAGATCATTTAATAGCAAGTCCTCAGGGCCAACATGCAAAGCAAAGATAATAGAGATCAAACGGAGGAGAATCAATATGCCAATCCATCATTATTGCATCAAAGGTATTGAATCTGATAATAATGATGGCAAATTGTGAAAATGCGCCAGCAATCAAAGTGACCACCATAGTGATTTAACTTTAGTGAAGAAATCGAAACGATTCGGAAAACAAGTCTTTTCGCTCAAGATGTTACTGAAACGGAGCAGGGAATTATTGATAAACGAGTTGCATTACAACAACGTCAGGTAATCCACGGTATTAAATAATTTGTCTCGTGCCCTTTGATAAATTCAACAGTTGACAAGTCTTATGATCTCAGTATGCCGAATTTGAACGACGTGAACGTGAACGTAAATCTCAAAAAATACGTGGAGTATTCGAATTTGTATCTGACGAAGAAATTTCAGAAGCACTGCGTGATTGTGAGAATGACGAGGTCTAATGTCAAATCTTAACTTTATCTTTAAAGTAAAAACAACAATTGAATATGTTTATGTTTTACAAATTTGCAGGAGGAAGTTATTGTACGAATGACGCAGCCTCGTTATCTGATCGAAATTCGTAAGACGATCGCCGAGAGGAATTTGCGTTCTTTACACAGTAAGCGATTTTACTAACTACCTAAATCAAAGTTCCAACCCTTATTATGCTCATTTAAAATCTATAAACAATGCAGTTAACTTGATGACAGATGAACAAAAAGAGGCGTATGAACAATTATTAAAGAAAAGAAAGGAAACTTTAAAAAAAACTACGGGAGAAAATGCCAAAAAGTACATGCTAAGAAATAATCTAGTGGACTTTCATGTTTAATTTTATTTGAGTTCATGTTTCGATCTACATTGATACCGTTTAGACAATATCGTATGAAAGGTCGTCTTGCTTTGGATGATGCCTTGAAGCAAGTTCAAGCCAACACAAGAGATCTTGAAAAAGCATTTGAGGGCTGGTCGGAAGCTCGAATTAAAGCATATAAAGCAATCGAAACGAAACCAAACACATATTATTACCGATTCAATGCACCAGGTGAAGAACAAAAGAAAGGTCAATGGACTAAGGTATTATAATGTTAAATGCAACTAATATCATAGTACGATTTGTTGACTACAGATTCATTAATTTTTTCATAGGAAGAAGAAGAGCTCTTTTTCTCGAGATTGAAAGAAATGAAAGAAACCGGAGCTGATGGTCAATGGGGCATATTCTCCATGGCAATTCCTGGCCGAGTTGGCTACCAGGCAATAAATATTAGATAATTAATATATTGCATTCAATTCTAGTGTGATTTAAAATTTTTCGCAGTAATAACTGTGATATTCTTTTTACAGTGTTCGAATTTTTATCGGTTATTGATAGAGACTGGACGTATTAAAGATCCAAATTATGTGCTTGATGATAAAGGCAAAGCGCATTACTTGTTTAGTACGACAAACAAAAAAACCGGAGTGACCGAAAAGGTTTTCCGTACACACACCAAGCATGGGAGCAACAGTGGAACCAGAGCTCAAACTTCATTATCTAAATCTACCACACGGTCGGCTCCAGCAAAAAAGAAGCGCAAGACTGGCAAGAAACGAGGCTATGCTTCTGATGACGACGATGACGACCTCGACTATGATGATTCGGGTAGTTATATTTTAAAATCCTGGAACACAACAAAAAGAACAAGAGCACAGGCATCCTCAAGCAAAGGACCTCAGATTCTCGATTATGAAATGGATGAGATCGAAGATGAAAATCCATTGCCTGGCTTTATCGATCCTATTACACTCGAAGAAGTCATAAAGCCTGCGATTTCCCCGTATGGACATGTGATGGGGTATAATTTATTTCCAAATATATAATTTGACTATTGTATATTTGTTTATATATATATATATATATATATTTTATTATATTATTTTTTTAATTTGTATAGGTATGATAGTTGGGTTCGATGTCTTTCTTCTGAACCTAAGAAAAATATATGCCCTTTGACTAAAAAGCCCTTGACGAAACGTGAGCTTGTAATCTTGACAATGGATAATATCGAGCAATATCGGTTAATATCTAAATGTTAGCTTGCTGTTCAGTTTTCTATTAAGTACACTGAAATTTTTCTATTTTTTGTAGGTCTAATATAGTTAACCGGAACGAATGAAATGAATAAATAAATGTTAGCAAAATAGAGATTATAAACTAGAGTGTGTGGTCACAAATTAGTTTTATTGATTCGTTGTTTTTGACATAAAATTTATAAATTATCGACTTGTATTCTGAAATATTTAAGAGTGGAATCAGGTGGCATATTAGTGTCTATTATTATTTTAGTAATTTTCGGTCGATTCAATCGATATTATAGTTAGGGAAGTGTCAGATATCAGCTGATATCGTAGGTAGACAAAATCGGATTTCCTTATGTCAAGAAAATGATCTACATCCGATGTAACACACAATTTTGATAATATTATATATATATATT